ACATACATTCACATTTCCCAAATTCACCGAACCCTCTCTCCTGACAGCCTCGCTACTAATATTCATTAGAACATTTCTGAGAGTTGCAAAGTATTCAATCAGATAAGTGGGTAGTCAGTAAGTCTGTCTCTTGGCTATTATGCTTGGTACATTGGTCCTTTCCTGTAGACAGTACAGTGTGAAGGAATACAATGTGCTAACAAAGCAAAACGCCTGTAACCAGGATGGCATTTACATTCCTGGAAAAACAAATAATGCCATACTGCCTTCCTGTAAGAGCTTGGAGAAACTGGAACAGAAAGAAGTAAGCTTGGACTCTAGGAGAAACCATCCCTAGAACTGGCCTCTCCTAAGCTTGTCTTTTCTTGCAAGGACAGTGAGGCATAGAGGCCAAGGCCTTTCAGTATGCCTGAGCTCCAAATGATCATTACCAAAGCCAGCTGTGTTGTCCACATCATCCTAAAGATAAGTTCTCAATTGGACGAGTGTCTTCTTTCTACCTTTACACCTCTGCTGTAACTCCTGATAATTTTTTAGCAAGCCAAGGGTCAATGAAAGCAGAAAAACAACCTCTGCCATAGACCGTCCCATGGACACCACAGATCCTCCAGTCAAAGTTTTGCTGACAGATGGCATCAATGTATTTTCTGCGGGTCCCATGAAATAAAGATCGCTCATCCACAGCCTTCCCACCGTTGCTCTTCTGCATTTGTTCCTTCTGCCTGCAATAAGAAGCAGTATCTTTGCAGATTCAGGGTGGCTGTGCCCAGACAGGTTTCAGCCATACTAGCACTGAGACGATTTTACACAAAGAGTACATTCTGAAAATCCTTACGTCAAGGCCTAAACTTTGGGCATAAAGGGCATCTTGCTGTCTAGCTGTGTACAAACATGCTTATGTTATGCACAAATGCCTCCTAATATTCAATGAGGACAATTTTTTGTTTCATTCACAGCCTACTGGGAGAGGAATCCTAGAATAATTTTTTTGCTAAACACAGGAGCTCACATTAAGGCTTTCCCTCAGTGAGTTTTGCATTTAGTTTTGAAGGCTGTTTCAGTTTTGAACAGCTACAAACCAGTGTTTGTGCCAGATGTGATTAATTACCAGATTCAAGGCTTCAGTGGAAGGCAAGCTGCCATGGATACAGGCCTGGCAGAAGTCAGAACCACTTACTCAGGAGCAAGGATTCCTCCCACAGAGTTCATCTGACTGTTCTAAGCAATATGTTTTGACTGAGTTTTGGTTTTGTCAGTACCTCTTTATCTGCATCTTGATCCTGGCTAGGTATTTCAGTGGGGGAGTGGAAGCAGCTGCATGAATCTATCTAGCACACAGCTAACTGCAGAAACAACAAACTTACCAGAGCAGTATTTTACACATACCATTGATACAGTTCCCAAAGAGATGGGTTCTGAACTCTACAAATCCTTTTAATAACAGTTTTGGGCATTGTGCGTTGGAAGTCCACCTTAACTTTCTTGTATTCTTCAGAAGAACCATCGAGCTCAACCAGCTGTAAGGAAAAGATTAAAAAGCTACTCTAATATTTTTCTAAATAATAACAAAGACATTCCCCTACCTAGTGAACTACTCAGACCTTTAAAGTTTTTTCTGTGAAGCAGAGGTACAAGCAGCAAAAACACCCTTGGAAAAAGAGGCATATTAGGGATCCCCCCTCTGTAAAAGCAAGCTCTTACCCAGGGAACATTGACTCCTGGGGTTTAAGACATCCAGTTTGCTCTATCACAGGACATGAAAGGAGCTGCATGCTGTTGTGCAGCCATGCAACCCCTTTTAATATTTGGGCCAAGATACATTTGCATGCAGATATCAAACAGTACCTAAATACATAGAAGAGATGAGCACATAATAAAAAAGAATGGACAATCTATGTGTCAGCAAATCAAAGAGTATCTCTGACACTCACACTTTCTTTTTAAATCTCTATAGTTTAGTCTCCCTAGAGCCAGTAAAAACAAACTACATTGCCTGTTATGTGTTTAAATAAATCTAGAAGATTTTATTCAATCATTTTAGGGGAGAGCAGGGACACCCTGCCAAAAATCAGTTCTTTACATGGGAATCCTGAAAGCAAGCAAAGTTTTCCCTAGGAATAGCAAGAATGTCAACATTAGCCTTCCTTATTTTTTTATTACAATTTCTTGAGGATTTGCATTTTGCAAGTTAGTAATTTTTAAGCGTCATATAAGAAGATCATTTCTGTAGGTCCTTTTACTACAGCTGGCAGAGGTGGTGGTGGAGACAGGCAGGAAGTCAGCAAAGGTAAACCATGCAGGTATTAAATGGGTGTGTTACAAAGGTAAATAAGTTCAGTCCACTGGAGTTATGAGACATTTTAATAAATAATCCTAGCCTGAATTCTGCTGTTTTCATCAATACTCCATAGACGTATTACAGTCTACTTATACACAGCTCAGGGAATGGCTACCCTGAAGTTAAGAGGCACAATATATCTCTGATGCTTCAGCACATGTTGGACTTGAAAGCTATGCATCTCATGCACCAGTAACAACATTGCTAATACAGGCAAAATTGACAAACAAAGGGTTAAACAGTAGCAGCAAAAAGTCAAAGTTGCTGTGGCTATATTGCCACCATATGTTAGTTTAAATTTGGGTCTAGTTTCACCTCTAGGTCTGCCCAGTGTGATATCAGACTCAAACCTACCCATATCTCTGCACTAAATTGCATAAGAAACACTGAACTTCTGATGTAACAAACCTGCACGCAACAAAACTGATGCAGAGAGAAAACAAAAAGCTCCAAACCTTGTATCCCACATCAGGCAGGGCAGATTTGTCCCAATGAGCTGGAATGCCCTTCAACTCTTCTGTGTATTTAAAGCCCCTGTACATTAAAAGAAGTTACAAATAGGTAATTAAAATAAAACTAATCCCTACATTTTATGTACATATGATACTAAACATTTTTTCAAAGTTTAGGGAGAATATGGGCAACTAAGCATATTCAGAAATACTTCACAATTGTCTTTTCAATTCAGCACATGAAAATTATGTCAAATCTTATAGCAGTAAAGCAAGATTCCAAATGAGAAAAAAATTAGATATATGCTGAACTAAAAATGAGAGTAGTTCTCTTAGTTGCAGAGAGTTGAAGGTATATATAAAAGCCCTGCTATATTTGGATAGATAAATAAAAATGCATCGAGTATCAGATCAGTATGACAGAAACAGAACAGATACAGTGCTCCTCTCTACTTCCACCCCAATTTTAGTTGGGGTGTTTAGCTGTTCAATTCTATGCTGTTTAAGCAAGCACTGTGTGCTGCAAGGAAATGCATAAAACAAGTTGGCTGTTACATGCAAATATATAAAACTTCTCCCCTTGCAGACTCCCACCTTTTGTTTCACCTGTAACAACTACTATTTTCCTCTCAGCTTGTCTGGTTTTCTCAAAATAACTGTTTCTAAACTTGTACTTAGCTTTGAAAATTACTGACCTCAGATATCAGAAAGGCCCAAGGATGCATAAATATTATTGCTTCCATCTGTATCAGCTGCTCTAATAAGATAGCTCCCTCTAATCAACAACTCCCTACAACACTGCTACCTGTTGAATTCTTTTCTATGCTTCCACACTTTCTGTGGTGAAGCCCAAGCTTCCTTCACTCCAAGGCTCCTGGGTTGCCTGGAAACTGTTGGCCAGGCTGCAATACTGCCCTGGCTAGATGTTGTAGGAAAGGTATGTCCCTTCCCCTCCCAATTTCTTAAGTAGCCTTAGCAGCTACTCCTTTACCTTATTTACACCTTTGGAAGACACTGCATTCACAATGTACTAAATGCACCACCTGAAGAAGAACAGCTGCAGTTTACCTTGCTCTTGACTTTTCTACCTCCGCCTTAGAGACAAATTTAGGTCTCCTGCAAATCGGTCTCTCTGTTCTGTAGCGAAGGTTCTTCTGAAACATGTCTGGAGAGGGGGAAGAAACAAACCAAAAAAACCTGAACAACCAGAAAGATGTTTTAGAAAGCCTTCACACTGCAGCAAAACTTGCCACTAAGTTTTGTCAAAAATGTTGACAAAAAGGCACTGAGGTGTTTTTTTCTTCAACACAAAGGGAAGTCAGAGAAGGAAGTGGAACCCACAGTCTATGAAGGATTTCAGTTTCAGTTTTCCTCTTAGCTTTAGGAGTGACAGACACTGATAGCTAGTTCCTCGTCATTGTTCCATCAGCCACACTTAACCAAAAATGATCAGAGTAAAATAAGTATCTACTTTTGCTCTGTAGATTGCATCCCCTCCTCCTCAATTTGCAATCAAGATACTGCTTTCCTACATGTAGTTGTAGATTTCAAACCTTACAAACACAAGCTAACAGCTATTGCAACTGTTTTATTGACCACCAACAGAGACAAGTCCCAGCAACCCAAATTTTAGAGACATTTGTTCCGGATCTTGGAACTTCACATCATACCAAGAGTCAGCGACTAAGAGTCAGAAGCAGCCGGCAGAATGAGGCCTTATCTTCAGAGAGAGACACACAGGAAGAAAACAAACAAATGAGAACTTGTTGGCACGACCAAACCTAGAAACTAAATTTTTGGAAGACATCTACAATCCATATGTTTGCTTAAGTTACTAAAAAAGCCCAGACCTTAGAAAAGAAACCAATTTACTGTGCAATTTTCCCTTCTAAGCCAGAGAAGATTCCTCAGGCTATAGAGAAGATTACAACATTGCTTTCAATTGAATCACAAACAGCGTATTATATGCCCTTCCAGCTCAGTTTTTTTTCAAGGCAGAGTAAGAAAGGAATGGAGAGCTGGATCAAAGGCAACTACAGCAAAATGACAGTCTGGGCAGGCTGATTCCCATCACCACAGTTCCCTGTAATTTTTGAAAAGGGTATCTGGAGAGGCAACAGCTCAGAGAGGACAATGCCATCACTAGTGGCTTAAATTTCCTGAATTCTTAGGAAACACATGCTCCTACTTTGACATAGTCAAGGTATTTCGTCAGCCTTTCCAGACAGGCAGAGCTATGGAAACCAAACAGAAACATAAATCTGGCAATGCCAAGGATTGTACAGACCCTACACCTGGCCCAATTATTAATTTTTCTGCAAGTCAGTAATTAAAGACCAGAGGTTGGCTTGCCAAGTAATTCAAAAGTTTCTCACCATTCATGTTGGTGCTAGCATCATTGGCAATGTCACAGTTTTACTTGCTGACAGATATTTTGAAACCCAGCACAAGAACTTCTCAAAAGTAAAAGGTGTGGAGGAACAGGAATGTCACTTATGTGAACAGTACTTATCCTGAGAACTTAAGACAGAAACTGTCTCTTTAAGCATTGTAGTACAAAGTTCAAATTTCTCTCTCCTATCTTGTGCAGCAACACAGTTTAAAACCACAAAAGACCTGGAAGGAAAACACCAAAGCAAACGGAACTTACCTTCAAAACTGAGTTCATATTCATGTCTTCCAGCTTTGAAGTTCAGCTTTGAAGAAGCTTTGGCTGTATAAGCTTTCTCCAGGTCATTGCTGGAGACAGTGGCAGCTGCATGATAATCATCCTGTCAGGCCAAAACCAGAGAAATATTTTCTTGGTCTGGTATATAAAAGCAAGTTTAAAAACCAACAACTGTCATATGGTATGGTGGTTGCAGTATGTATCAGACAAAACCTATGTATTAAGTAGCTGAAACTGCCCCTCAAACAAAGCAAGACATGTTACAAAGTCCAAATTTCGAATGCAAAGTGCTCACTGGGAACAATACTGCTGAGAACACACACTCACCAACTAGACCTTAGCAAAGATGCACAAAGTACTACAGGAACCTCAGAAAGGAAGGTTTAGCCAGGAGCAATGAGATGAATGTATTCATGTGATCCTATCTGACATGACTCACTGAAGAATTCCCTATCAGTAGTATTTGTGACTCATGAGTGAGCACTCCCCTACCTGAACCAATTAAATTCCCAGGGAAAAGATCTCACAAAGCCTCTAAAGTCCATCTGTACAGTATGAGTGAGAGAGAGGGCAACAAAAGAGGGGGAGGATATGAACACTGTGCACTTTTCAGTAGTTCTGCACTTTTAACACAAAGTTGAAATTCTCCCCATTTCTCCAGACTTACTTGTTTTCCATACTCCTGCCACAGGTCACATTCATCTTTCCAGTACCAGATCCATTCTGTTGTAAGAATGAAATGAGGGGGCTTGGTCACAGAGGAGGCTGTAGAAAGACGTCTCACCTTTGCAAATCCACACAACATTCTCTTAAAACAGATATGTGGCAAGACAGAGCCACTTTCTGTAACACCGTTACTAAATCTATAAAAAAAACACAACAAAAACCAAAAATAAAGGAGAAAACCAATCAAAACTGTGAAGCTTTACTCATAGGTTCAGAAGCTCACCATAAATTTGCAAATTAAGCCACCATCACTCAAAAAGCAGAACACAAAACTGCAGTTTCCACAACAATCCCAGCTCTGTCTCGCATTTGTACTTATTCTGCATTTACAGTACTATATCTCACATCAGTTCCATTGGCAGTAACCTGTACATCAGTGAGTTACATAAGATTAACAGAAACAGTGGAAAATCTACACTGCCTTCTTCTTGCTAATCAAGTATACTCTAAACAGAACACTGTCACAACTTAAGCAAGGCTTCAAAGAGCCTCTAGCATAACCTAAGAGGGCTAGGTACACTCCAGCATGGGACACAGCATACTGGTATAAGTCCTTCCAAGACACTCTTTGCACGACACAAACAATTCCAAATTCTTAAAGGCATTTCCATATTCTTAATTTTCTGTGTACCCAAGTGTATCTCTCTTTCCAAGTACATAAGATGTTCTACCAGTTCCACAATATGAACTGGGGGAAAGGGAGATGGGAGAGACAACTCTCATGCTACCTTTCCATTCTCCTGCTCAAAAGGTGACAGAGAAGGTTACTTCTAATTGTCAGCTCAAGCTGTGTATTGACAAGGTCTAACCAAAGACAGGCTCCCGCAAGTACTTGTGATAAAATCACCATTCTCTGCAATGTCTTAGTCACCCTTAATGAGTATTATGACTTCCTAAAATAGCAGCAGTAGGAAGTATTTATACATTTTTCCCAGCAAAGAGTGCTAGAGTTTACAGGTCAGGCACATAAAATAACTGTGGTGGATTGACCCTGGCCAGCAACCAAGTACCCACACAGCTGCTTGCTCACTCCCCCTCCCTTGCATGACATGGTAGAAAATTCAAAGGGCAAAAGCAAGAGCTGTGGATCAATATAAAGGGCTTCAATAAGTGAAAAAAGGGGGGGCTAAGGGGTGGTAAATGAACAAACACATAGATAAATAAAACAAAGCAAATTGATCACCACTTCCCCATGTAGTCTACTGCACAGCCAGTCTCCAGCCAGCAGCCAGACTACTCAGTGCAGAGGAGCAGGACAGAGTGAGATTAAGAGAAAGCCTTGACTCTTGGATAAGCACTGCTCAGCAACACCTAAAACACTGGTGTATTATCAGCACTGTTTAGTCACAAATCCAGAACACAGTGCTATGGGCTGCTAATAACAATGTTAACTCCATCTTAGCCAAACTCAGGATGGCAACCCAAGAGGGTTTTCCAGGCATAAGGAACTGTCACGGTTTAGACAGCTGTTCTGTCACCAGACCCCACCCAGGAGGGGGAATCAGGTAAACAAAAGGAGACCTGCAGGTTGAAGTGAAAACAGATTTAATAGAATAATAATAATGAACTAATATTAACCCCAATATTAAGACAAGACACAAAGTTATGATACTCAGCTTCAGACAGTAGTAACAAGCTGTGTGCTCCCAGCAGTGAATGCCGAACGCCCAACCCTACCAGCACAACAGCTCCAGCCAGAATGTGATGGTCACAGCAAGGCAAGGAGGAGGCCTCAGGCGCAGGACATCAGACAAGATGGACAGGACCCTCTCAGGAAGGCAGCCATGGTAGAAGAAAAAACATTCCCCAAACTTCCCAATATACAGGCAGGGTGATATTTATGATATGGAATATTAGTGGGCCAACCTAGGTCAGCTGCCTGGGACTTCACACCTCCCAGCCCACTGCACCTGCATGGTTCAAAACTGCCTTTGACCTTGGTCACTACGGAAACCTGCAAACCAGAGCTGGGTATAAAAGAAAACATCACATCTTATTTCTTTTGTTCCCACAGAATTGGATTCTGCAGTCTCTCAAAAACTACAGTTTCTCTGAACAGAAAAAAAAATATTTTAAAATTCTGTCCCAGCAAAACCAGGACAGTAAGTTACAATGGATCAGGTCTCCAGCAACAGTAGATCAGCAAAGTTAGGTCAGCAGAAGAATACAGAATGGAGCTACTTACACAATAACTGCAATAGAATTGTAGCAATTTATAGCCACTAAGGCCCTAGTCCAATATAGCAAGCTCCAAACATTATTAAATTTTATAAGTTTATACCTGGTGTTATTTGGATCACAATATGCTTTTTCTATTTCTTCCATATTCTTCAAGTCCTTCCAGGTATCACCCTCCAAGATCTGCCATCTATATGGCAAGTGAAAATGACTTCTGATACACTTGTCTATAAAAGTTTAAAAATAAAAAAGTAAAAGATGTATTATTTTTACAGGCTATGAGAAAAAAGGCCAACATTTCAGGGCTGTACACCTTGCTGGTGAAAGTATCAAATGCATAGCTATGAGAAGTGTTCACAGGGAATCATTACAAGTAGTTCAGAATTTTTCAGCACAAGCAAGCAAAACTTAAAATTGTGGAATTTCAGTTTCTGTACCTATTGGATTCTCTTTGTACATCAATATGACTAGCAGGAGCTCAGTGGTGAAGGACCATTCTGTCTTCTCAGTTTCAGAGACAAAAATTTTTAATGAATCTACATCACAAGCTCATCCAAGGCTGATTTCATACACAAAATAACAATGTAGATTCAAGTATCTATGCTTAACCACTTCGTATCAAAGAGGTATTACTGAGGGAAAAAAACAACAACACAACAATGCTTAGTTTTAGGATAGGAGGTAGGCTAGTTAATTTAGAGACTTGAAGAAATCTCTAAGGGTCCAGGCCTCACCAGAAACAAGAGTAGTGGTAGTCACGGCCCAGGTATCACAATTGTTATGCAGAAATAATTTGAAGAGTCAGTATGAAGTCACTCCTCAACAGGAGTGAAGACCACATCACCAGTAGAGGTGCATAAATTTGAGGCAAGCCTTCATAGTACAACAACAGGCAACTTAACTACAGGGAAAGTCAAGGAGACTATACCACACTTTTCATATACAAAGGTGTGCAGTACATCAGGGAGCTACTGCAGATCGAGAAGATCAAGAAGGAAAACAAAATGACAAAAGGACCAGAAAAAAGCTGGAACAGCAGCCTTTTTTCCTGGACAAGTTGGAACATTCTGAAAGGCAGAGAGTTCAGATAGATGGAACAGAAGTGCTAGAAGAAACAAGAAAAAATGTAGAATTAAGTTTTTTGTAGCTATTTCAAAATCGGATTCTTATCATTCTGCAACCCCTTAGGTGAACACTGGTACAGTAGCCAATCCATAACACAGGTATTATATATTTCAAAGTAAAATAAAATAGCTTCTTTGTTTGGTATACCAAGTATGTCAAATACACTTTTCTACAAGCACTCAAGATTACAAGATTTAACTAAAGATAAACATAAGCTGTAAAGTTTCCCCTTTCTGCAAAAGATGTCTGTCACTTTTTCTTTATGAGGAAAGGAAAATAAACTGGACCTGCTGCAGTCATAACCTACCTTTAAAACCACAACTTCTGTACAGATGATATAAACAGATCTGTTCCAATTCATCACCATTTGTAGTTGAGGACTCTTGGTTAGAGCTGTGTTTTCTCTCTGGAGGGGGGAATTATAAGTCTTATTAATACCCTTTGTTTCAACAAGGCCACTTTAAAGTGCACCTATGGAAGAAAAGTATTTATAACTATGTAACTGCATTCGTTGGCTCCAGAAAGACACTGAAGTCTTTGATAACCTTGTATATTCAGAAGTCCTATTCCTTTCTGAATTTCACTTTCTTGCAACTGCTAAATTCCCCAGATACAGTTTTTAGCTATCATTACAAAATAACAATAATATTTACATTTCTAGATGAATTTAAGTTAATCACATTGTCTTTGTTCAGTCAGATGTTCTATCACCCAATATGAACTCTACCCAATGGAGAAGGGGAACTGGGAAAAGGAAAGGAGAGCCATGGGTTGAAGTGGAAACAGATTAAATAAACGAATATTAATACCAATATTAATATCAAATACACAAAATTATACTCAGCCCATATAGTGGTTGCAAGCTGAATGCTCCCAGCAGTGGATGTGAGATGTTATCGCACTACAGCCCCGGCGAAAGCACGACAGTCACAGCAAAAAGAACAGGCCTCAGGAGAAGAACAACAGGCACAATCCTCCAGGGATGGCAACCATTGAGGAAAGAGACTCATCCCCAGCAAGCTTTCCAATATATAGTCAGCATGACGTTTATGTTATGGAGCACTTCTGTTGGCCAGCTTGGGTCAGCTGCCCTGGCTTTCACTCCTCCTAGCTTTAGCACCCAGTTAACTCCAAACTGCTAAAGACCTTGATCACTGTGGAAACCTGCATACCACGGCTGGCCACAAACTAAAACAAAGTGTCTTATCAACTTTGTTCCCACCAAAAGGGGTGCTACAGTCTTCTCAAAAATGCATCTTTCCTGAATAAGAAATCAATCCTATGACCCTATCCCAGTGAAATCAGGACACATGCCTTCCACGAAGCTGGTTGCATGGGCATCTATAAAATCAGAAGTATCAAAATCTGATACTTCTGTAAATTAAAACATACCTAAGGAGACAAAGAAAGGATGAAGGAACTGCAGAGATAACAGCAGGAGTGAACATACTCATTTGGGTTTCCATTTTGTTAGCCTTTTCTGTCCTGCTAAATTATACTTAACTTCCAATTAAAAAAAAAATTCAAAAGAAAAGAACAAACAAAATACTACATCTCTGAGAAGTAACTAGGATAAGTGCTGTGAGTTCTTGTGCTAGACAGTCACTACATTAAAGAAAAACTGGATAGTTTATAATCACTCAAGTAAATGCCAACCCTGTCCCTAAACAGTTGTCTGCCCTTATTTAAGTTTTTTATCAAGAAAAAATTATATATCTATCTCCCTCTTTCCAGTTCCTGTTATGCTCTTCCAAACCCAAATTAAAATTTTTATAAACACCAAGCACTTTATTTCTCAGGAACTCATAATGTCTTGAAATCTACTTCACTTGTCAAGACATAAACCTCTGTCAAGGAAATACGTGCTAGGTCCCTCCTAAAAGCCACATCAAGATATTAATTCAATTTTATTTTTCTTAATGATATCTGTGAGAATGTTACATTCACTACAGTGACTCTTCCTTTGATGTTTTCAAAAGATTATATAATTTACCTTTGCATGGTGAAGACTTGTTGGCATTTTCTATGTCATCCATGTTTCCGTTGCCATTTTTTATGTCATACATATTCCTATAAATGGATGGCAGTTTCCCAATAATGTCTGAGCTCATTCCCTGTTTCTCCAGTTTCTCATAACATTCTGAGTTTAATAAGTCATGGGACCGCTTGCAGCTGCTGCCAAATCTGCACTGTCCCTGCAAAAAGTACTGGCAAATATGCAGTTTGGTGCAGATCTTTTTATAGGTACAAGATCCATAATGTCCATCACCTTTGTTATAATACAAGCAGACCTTGGGTAGAGAAAAAAATAAGTAAAATTAAAGTACAATGTGTTCACGTAGACTGTTTGAATTAGCAATTTTTAAATTTCTACAGCTATGCATTTACATTTGCATTTAAGAGACTTATATAAGTTTCTTCTTTCTTGTTGTTTTCCAAATGTTTACTTAATAGTTTCTCCCTTTCACTGCTAATGTGTAGAAAGATCTTTCAACTGACCCTACTATCACCTTACAGACATTCTTAAGCAGATGTGACTCTAAGTCACATAAATGTAGGACAGTGGATTTTATTGTGTGACTACCCAAACTCTTTGGATTTCTAGTTTTGGAATAGTGAACTTTTTTGAGCTGAATTTGATGGTAAGAAGTACTGTATCTGGCTGGGATGAAGTTAACTTTCCTCATAGCAGACTGTACAGTGCTATGTTTTGGATTTGTGACCAAAACAGTGTTGATAACACACCAATGTTTTGGTTAATGCTAAGCAGAGATTGCACAGTGTCAAGGCTTCTGCTTTTCTCCATTCTGCTCCTGCCATCCCGGGTAGGCTGGGACTGGGGAAGAAACTGAGTGAGGACACAGCTGGGACTGCTCGTCTAAACTGGCCAAAAGGATATTCCATGCCATATAATGTCATGCTCTAAAATGAAATACAAACATAATAAGAATGGGTAGGGAGGCAGAGGTGGGTCCTTCTTACAAGGTGGCCCTAGCTCAGGGACTTGCTGGGCATCGGTCTGCTTGTGGGAGTCAGTACCCAACTTCATTGCAAAACTTCCTTTCTCCCTTTTCCTCCACTTGCTAAACTGCTTTTATCTCCACCCGCAAGTTTTGTTACTTTTGTTCCTGTTTTCTGTCACCTGTCCTGCTGGGGGCTGGGAAGATGGGAGTGAGCTGAGGGGCTGTTCAAATGTTTACCTGCCAGCTAGGGTCAACCCACCATAGATGGTGCAGATTTGAAGTTTTGGATTAGCATTATGCTAACTAAACTGACACCTAATATCCCCCGGCAGTACCAAGCCTCTTCCACTTTGTGATGTTTAATGAAACACAAGGCTAAGAAACTGGGCTGGGTTTGTGTGGCCAGGCTTTGGTAGCCAGGGAGGGCCTACAGGGGTGAATCCTGTGAGCAGCTGCTGGAGGCTTCCTTGGTTCCACGCCAGACCCACCTCTGTCCAAGGCCAAGCCCATCAGCAAGGGTGATAGCACCTCTGTGGTTAACATAATAAGAAGGGGAGAAGGAAACTACTAAAAGACCTGCAGGGAAGAGGAGAAGGGGAGGCGAGAGCAATACATACACTAAGGTCAGTGAGGAAGGAGGGGGAGGAGAGGCAGATTCCCCTGCCGTCCGTGGCAAGGCAGCAGGCTGTCTCCTTGTAACCCATGGAGGATCATAACAGATCAGATGTGGACATGCAGTCTTTGGAGAACCCCATGCCAGGGGAGGTGGCTGCCCCAAAGAAGGCTGTGATTCTGTGGGAGGTCTATGCTGGAAAAGTGTGTTCCTGAAGGACTGCACTTCATGGGAGGGACTCATGTCAGAGGAGTTAGTGAAGGACTCTCCTGTGGGAGGGACCCCACACTGGAGAAGGGGAACAGTGAGGAGCCCTCCCCCTGAGGAGGAAGAATTGGCATAAAACCTGTGACGAACTGACCACAAACCCCATTCACTGTCCCCCTGCATCCTGAGGGGGAAGAGGAGATAGAGATTTGAGGAGCAAAGTAATTTGGGCCTGGGAAGAGAGAATGGATGGGAGCAAAGTGTTGGGATCTGTCAAGATCTGGTTTTGTTTCTCACTGTCCTGCTCTGATTTGACTGGTGACAAATTGAACTGCTTTTATTCCCTCCAGCTGAGTCTGTTTTGCCCATGATCATAACTGGTGAGGGAATGAACCTTTCCTTTTCCTTGTCCTGACTCCCAAGAGCTTTTCATTGCAGTTTCTCCTCCCCATCCCACAGTGGGGGCAGGAGTGAGCGAGCAGGCCCGTGGTTCTTTGCTGCCAGCTGGGCCCAAATCCTGACAGAAACTGTCACCATCCTACTCACCTCTGGTAAGAGGGAAGTGTCATTTTGAAGCAGAAGCTGGCGAAGTTCATCACTGTTAAAACTCTCAAGTCCATATGGTTGTAAAACGCTGAAATTGTGGCTTGAGTAGAAATCATGAGAAAACCTGCATCCTTTCCTACAAATTCAGAAACAAGATGGGTGTAAGAGGCTAGCACTATTTTATTACCCCAACCATATTACACTGAACAGTTTAAAAAGCACACCAAATCAGCTAATTTCAGAAAAAAAAACCCGTAGCGCTCATTTATAAAGTAATTATGTGACTTGCTAACAGGTTACATGATTACTCAGGATAACTGCCACACTATTCCCGACTTACAGCCACCAGGACACGAGTGCTGCCTGACAACACCGGCATTTCTGACCCGCAGCCCACAGCCACGCGTCGGGAAGACCCCAAAACCCCAGCAGAAGCAGGTTCCCCCCCCGCCTCACCCATCACCGAGCTCTCGGGTCTGTCTGCGGGCTGGAGGGGGAGGCGGGGGGCAAAGCTTTCCCCTCACACGGGCACAGCGCGG